AGAGAGAGAGAGAGAAGAAACTACTTCTGCGTACAACGAGTTAGGAAAAGGATATGGAAAAATTTCGAATACTATCGAAAAGGAGAGAATCTGAAAGAGATTAATAGAATGTTAAAAATTGGGGGGAAAAATCGAAGAGAGGAGTGAAGAAGAAGGAGTGAAAAACAAAAGCTTGCAAGGAGAAGGAGGAAAAAGAAAGATGAAGAAAGAATAATTGGAAAATTATCAAAAATTTTAAAAAGAATCGGTGATGCGAAGAATATTTGATTAATAAAGAGAAAACGAAACCAAACGATTGAAGGTAGAATTACTTTAGATGGATTGATTGGAAACAAATTGATTATCCATTTTAATTTAAATTTTCCTGATTAGAGTGAACTGCACTTTATCATAATTTCGAGAAAAATATACTTTCTTCGGTATAAACGCTCTCAAGAGGTCGTATTTTCACTTGAAACAATTATATTATATTCTAAAAAATACGTTTTTCTAAAAATACACGAATATTTGGAACAAGGAATATAAAACGAAGATTGGTGCGAAAGTGAAACGGAAGAAGGAGATAAGACAACGTACACAGCACTTACATAGACAAGCAGATACATACATAGTGAGAAAGACGTAAAGGACGATACGGAAACGAAACGAGAAGGAAATCAAAAGGAGAGAGAGAGAGAGAGAGAGAGAGAGAAGAATGTGAAAGAGAAAAAAATATTCAAGCCGCCGTCCGAACAGAGGTACAATCGTTGGAAAGAATTAACAATAACAGAAATTTTAACCTTCTTTTACAAAAAAAAATCTTTCAGAATTACCAATTACATAAATCTTAATCCTTTGCATTAGTAAATACATGTATAATATAATTACATATAACATTCTAGGGATACTAAATTATACTATATTATATTCTAGGGACATTTGTTACCTTGACTGGTAACAACCTATCTCAAATACAAATACGAGTGCATATTCTTCGATTCCTTCCTATTATATCCTCCCAACGATCATCGTACCCTATTCGAAATAAGACGAAACGGAACGGAACGGAACGAAACGAAACGAAACGAAAGAAACGCGAGGGGGAATAAAACGACGAAATCGATCGGTCGGCCGATCGAACATCAACGAACACGTGTGCATAGATCTCGTGCATCTCTACTATTGTATATAGAGCCGGCTCTGATCTCTGTTCGTTCGCACGCTCTAACCCGTGGTTGAACGTTGTGAAGAGAGGGCGTCGTCGCGGACGACGGCGACGACGACGATAGCGTAACGTGATTCGTGCTCGAGATGGAAGAAGACGTGGAAGAAGAAGAGGTGGGCGAGACGCGTTGGTGATGGTGATGATGGTGGTGGTGGTGTTGGTAGTAGTGATGGTGGTGATGGTGCTGGCGATGATGGCGATGCTGCTCCCACGCGTCCGTGGTTGCCGCCGCTGCGGTGGTCGCTGCTGCCCTCGGCACAAGCGCCGACGACTTGTTATCGGCGATCGGGGAATCGGATCGGCGCAAGCAACGATCCGGCAGCACGAAGCTCTTCGACCTTCCTTCCAGCATGCCGACAGCATTCTGCCAACCGCGCTCGGCGGCGAGAGCAGCTCGTTCAACGGGTCGAGCCCCCCCCACCGTCCAACCGTCTTTCTCCGTGTCGCTGTCCCCGCAACCCGCGCCCCGCGGCCGATCGAGAACGTTCGCGCTCGACCACTGCCTCGACCGCGCCACCCTCCCGCGACACCCCTCGCCTTCCAGCGCCGCGTCTCGGCCACCGCCGCCGTTCTTCGGGACGAGCTCGACGGTTCTGCTCGAGCTGCTGCTCACCGCCGATACCCTTACATTGCGACCGGTCTCCGGTCGGTAGGAGAGGCTCAGAGCGCGGTGGCTCAGCTGCGCTTCGCCGAGATCCTCCATCCCTGCACCCTGAGGATGATGTCCATTGTCGTTCAACCACTTGTTTTTTTTTTTTTTTGGTTTTTTTTATTTATTTTATTTTTTTTTTTTTTTGGTTATGCGAGGCTCGTCGTGTGGGTTTCGTCGTTGGTTCGTGGTCGGTTGGTGCGGCGTCGAACGAAGTAGGGAACACCGAGAAGACGCAAGAAGTGATGGCGGCGGTCCAAGGGGATGATTGGTGGTGGTCCAAGGTGCGCACGAGCACGGGACACGATAGGCAAACACCAAAGACACGCACACACACATGGACAACGATCAAAAGATACTTGTGTATTTGCGGGGAGAATTTTTTATTCTTTTGTTTTTCGTTTTCGATGGAGGGAAGGGGAGAAGGAGGATGAAATTTATTTTTGATTTGGAGATTTTTTTTTTTTCAATTGAACACCAGAAAAGCTAATTTGTTAGATTATTCGGAGATAGTGGAGAAATGTAATAGATGATATTTTATTTTAAATATTATTGTAAATGTAATTTTTTAAATTCACCGATCGATAGAAAAAGAACCTGTCAATTTTGAATTAACGAAATTCTAAAACGAAATAAAATCCTATCCTATTACTCAATCCTCGATTTTGTTAAGACTTACAACGAAAGCTGAAATTATGTTGTCAAAGGATCAATAACAATTTGAAATTTAAGCTTGAATTTTAAAATAAAATTAATTCTTCAATTGTGCGAGGAGAGTGTGAGAATGAACGTGAGAAGGGAAAGAAATGGAGGCTGAATCTTATTCGACTAAGATTAAATAAAAAAAAAAATGGCGTACCCCGTCAAATATGTCCATGACCTCGTCCCACCACTAGAAAAATAAGATTAAATATAGCGTTAATCTGTACGCTAAATGAGGTTAAAGATGATATATGTTAAAATTGAGAAAAAAATATAATATATATATATATATAAAACTGATGTATTTTCGTCACTACTTTTCATCTAATACTTTTTTCAACTATTCAATTCGCTCTCCTTAATATTTATAATCTTTTACAATACAATCGATGTAAAATACCATTTGTTAAAAACGATTGCAATCGTTGAAAAGAGAATCCAAAATAAGATACCAATTATTAATTTAAAAAAAAAAAAAATAGAATTCCAAATAAGAAAGAATTTCTACCAAAAGAATTCTTAGATGAAAAGTTAGTCACCGTGTTTGAATCGCTAAAAGCAGCGCTACGGAAGCTAATCAAAATAAGGGAAAAAGAAAAAGGAAAAAAAATAGAGAGAAAGTATAATATACGATAAAATATAATTATCTGAAAGCATGGACGAGAGATTGCGTGCGCTCGATATATATCTCTGAACACATTGAAACGATTCTCATATACGTATATATGAGACGTATATTCAAAAAAAAAAAAAAAAAAAAAAAAGAAAACGTGACGTTAAATGATCGGTCACGCGGGCAAAATAGAAGAAATAAAATAAAACTTGAACGAAAGAAAGAAGAAGAAAAAGAAGTGATCTGGCATCTGTTTAAATTGTTCTGACAATCGGTCGATATAATCGTTACCTTCCTTCTCGTCCGTGTGACAGAAGTCGGCTAGAAAGCAAAGCCATTTCAAACGATCAAGATCGAGGCACACTTTGGTCGGGAAGCTTCTACGTACCGTGTGTGTGTGTGTTATTTGCCGATAATTTGCGGCCGATAATTAATGCGAGTTAATCAAGCGATCACTTCGCGACCAATTACGCGTAATTGTAAGCGCGCGAAAAAAGTTTAACTCGTTATCTAATCTTCGCTCAATGGGATACTCTGTCGGTCTCGATGGGGCAGAGAAAAGGTGCCTTTTTATTCCCAAGCGGAGGATTAATCTTCGAAATAATTCGTGAATCCAATTTTAAAATTGCTCATTATGATATTTTAATGTTTTAAAATGACCAAAAAAAAAAAAAAAAAAAAGGGAAAAAATTAAGCAATGTTTCTTCGATGGTAAAGAAGGAAAAATTAAAAATTAAGTATCCGATTGAGAAATTATGAAAAGATGGTGGTACTTTTTCTCTGTTAAAGGTAATTTCTTCCGTATTTTTTGCGCAATATGATTTTTCTCCAAGTATTGTACAACGAATTTCAATGGGGGAGGGGGGATGTTTTCGAAGAGAATTCGTATAGAGGGGAAAAAAAAAAAAAAAAAAAAAGAAAAGAAAAGAAAGAATAGGGTTGCAAAGGGATGGATCGAACTCGAGGAGATAAAATTTACGTACCTCCTTGGCTTCCTTTTCGGCGATCGAAGATCGTCCAGGCTCGTAGTCCTCGATACGGCCAGGCTGATTTTTATAAACCTCTGAACTGTACTTCAACGTGCCATTCCTCGAACAAAAATCGTAAAATTTATCGTTAAAAAACATCTCGATGATCCCCTTTTTAAGTTCTTACAGAATTTTAAACTATTATACAACAATAACACCGATAATAATTTTCATCGTCTCTTCGTTTCAAAAATAACGTTACGCGCGATATTTTGAAAAATCATCGGAGAATGGAAAATTAATATCCTACTTTCTGGGCATAGTCGATGTGAAGAAATCATTTTCCCTGTTACGAAGGCGTCGACGATTGTCGAGGGTGGCGGACCGATCCGAGTACAAACGGTGTTCCGGTTCGCTTAAATATCCACTTCCGCTTCCGTAACCGTATCTCGTCCCTAGAAAAAAAAATACATTTTGATCGAAGATACATCACCACCAACCTTGCTAAATTCACTTAAACGCGTGTTAAAAATTCTATACAATTTCATCCATCACCGACAAACATAAGTGAGAAATGATATATATATATATATATGTATTATTATCACACACATATTTGGGACAAATTTATTTAATCCTTTTTACCCTAAAACTGTGAAAACTAGATTCTATTCTTGAAAATAATTATAGCGCAAAGGATCAATTTCTTCGATTATTTCAAATATAATTTGAAATATTGTTGAAAAATTATTAAATTTGGACTATGAATATATTAATTAATTCAACGTTAATAACGTTCACGATCTAAATTTCTAAGCGTCTCTTAAGATTTATTTAGCATGGGTGGTATACATTACGTGTACATATTCGTACACAGAAGCTGAAAAGGAACGATCGATTAATCGGTAGCAGGATGTTAAAAGATGAGGGCGGCGTCACAATGATCAATTACAATCAACGGTTATTGTTATTTTCACGCACTAACGATTAGGATGGTTAATATGTCGATGGATAACATGTGATTGGTGCGTGTAAACGACACCACGCTGTGTCTGTGCGAGACAACACTGAGAAACGTCAGTGACTTTTCTATGTTAAAGCGAAAAATCGACCGTAGAAGAAGAAGGCCATTATTATCGTGTTAATTTCTAAAGCTTTCTCTGTTTTATTAGTATTCGTATATACGTATGTATATATATATATATATTATTTTTTTCGTTTCGTTGGACCGTGTATTCACCTCTTCTCTGTTTGTAACGAATGGTTACGTAGTCATCTGAAAATGAGATTAAATATTAATCTCACGATTAATTCTTATTTTTTTTTTTTTTTTTTTTTAAGAATTCTTTTGATATTATTCTCGTTTTTCTTTTTAAACATTCCTCTTATTGAATTGAAATTACTTTAGTACTTAGTTCTAGTAGAAATCTGTTAAAATTAAAAATTGCGATGCTCAAATTAATTAATTAATTAAGAAAAAGAAACAATGAAGAAAATTTTTGGTTATTTTTAAGAAAATTCTTAAATAAATAAAAAGAAAGAAAAAAAAGAAAATATTATCGAGCACTTGATTAATTGCTAACAATTAATTTCCAAATTATATGTGTAAGCATCGAGAGGCTATTGTCACAATATTTGTCGCATGAACTCACCGCTTCTGTCTGCACGATGCAACGAGTCGTACATTTTCTTATACCACTTTGTCTGATTATTCTCCTTGACTTCCTATAAAATGTTTCTTCACTTAAATGAAACGTAACGTAGACATTCTCTAATTCTAAAATGAAAAGCCAAATCCGGCCAATATTTTGAACCGAACTAAGTATTATTTTTCAACTAAGTTAAGTTAAAATACCTAATAAATTAATCAATTAAATATTTGTTATTTTTATTATAATCAGAATTTTTGATTAGAATCAAAATATTATTAATATTATTAATAATCTTGTTATTATTAAAAGTTATAGCCAATAATTAATAAAATCAAGAAAATTTTTAATATTATTAATATTTTTAATCTTGTTAAAACTTCCCAACCGATTAATCGAATAATTAAGAATCCAATATTTTCCTCTTCTTGTTAATGATACCTAAAGCTTCTATTAACTGTTGACAGATGGAGCGACCTACCGATCTCAAAACAAGGGGAATACCCTCCTTAGATGTTGGGCCGATACCCTCGAATTTTCGAGGACCCAAGTCGGCCATCTTCTTCGGCGGTTCGTTTTCCGTTTCCGGCTCGCTCTCGTATTCTTTCTTCACCGTGTATACTGAGCGGACATCATTTTAATTTCACAATGCGGAAAACCAATGTGAAAAGAACCGTTCGGCTCAACCGAACTTTATCGCGAAAGAAAACTTTTTTTTAAACAACCATTTATCGCGTAAAGTTGGTACCAGAGTCACGAGAAGTGGTTCAACCACTTCAGATTCTTGAAATTACAATTTAAAACGTGGAGCAGAGAGAGAGAGCTTATGGACAGTGATACACGGTTATAATGCAACATTCAACGATGAAAAATATACTCACTGATCTCTCCTGGACTAATTATGCCTTTCTCGTCGCTGGTTGGACGCTTTTCCGTCTCGTTCTCTTCCAGATAGGCTGCTCCCTTTGGCAATTGCCCTTCTAAGATTTTATAACACGAACAGAGATTATGCAACAGTGATTTGTACTTTTATTTTTATGAGATATAAAAGAGATAAATCTAAGGAAACTTCGTTTAAAAAAAAAAAAGTCTATATATATGTCTATGTCTTTCAAAAATTTAAAGAAACAAAATTTGAGAAGAAATCCTCTAAATTTAATCACAACCTCTAATCGCATTGTCCATTTTAATTTGTTGCGCCTCACCTCTTGCTTTTTGAAGCAGCGTTATAGTTGGATTCTGAGCACGTGGCAGTCGAGGCGTTGAACTTAATGAATTTAATCCCTGGGACGGTGCTGAGTGGGAATTGACAATTCGCGAACTCGTACTAGCGCTCTCATAACTACTTCTTGTTATTTCCTTCTTTTCCGCCTCCCAAGGCGGTGGAGTTTCCTGCGTGCTCTGAACAGAATTCAATTATCAATTCACCATACCAAGAGTTTATCAAATAAACTCTAACTAACACCACCTCGTTCATTGAACATCAACGAAGCTAAAAATTATCCGTCTTACCTTCCTTAAAAAAAAAAAAACATGCATCAATATTTAACAATAATTATTAATCCAATGTCACAACTTTTTACCAAAATTGAAAAGCGTCACACGATATTCGAGATCTCCTTGCTTTGAATTTAATCAAATATTGATCTCCCATCAATTGTAAAGCAAGGTTTAAAGTACGAATTAAATGGAACAATATTCCCTAAATTATCTCTCTACATTTAATACAATTAATTGTACAGCAGAGAAAAATTGTACACAGATTATAATACACTTCTTTAAAAAATAATTCATTTCTCCAATGTAACCATTCTAACTTCCAACGAAACGTCAACAAACGTTTCCAAAAGCCTTAAATTTTACGGTTGATGGAGGGGCTTGACAACTCACTTCTTGCTGCGCTACCTTCTTCCGGCTTAGGGTAGGGCTCTCGAATTGAACCGGTCGAAATTCCTTTTTCTCGGCAATTGGGCTTGCCCCAGCGCTGGAAGGCGTCCAGATCGGTGGTATACCACCATCCTTTTGAGACTCTTTCCGCTCGGGGCTCGGCTCCTTCGGGGGTGGCTCGCTTCCAGGTGACCAAACGCCTGGAAAACGTTCGCATGGTTAGTCCAACGTCACTCTCTCATCGATTCTTACTTGACCCTTTTGTCTCCACCCAAATATCCTTCTTCCATTCCTTCCCTCAGTTTTCCAAGGGTGTCGACAAGGGTTTGATAATATCGAGATTCATTAGTAAACGTAGCAAACCCAAACTCGATTGTTATCACATTTTGTTCGCGTAACTGGCTTTAAATAAATGAAAAAAAAGATTTTCTGGTTTTACGGATTTTCAGCAAGATTGCAAGTACGAGTATATTCAGTTAATTGATTATTCGAAGCGCAAAATAACAACAATGCGTTTGAAAGCAAATTTTACAATATGAAAAAGTATTATCATGAACATTCTCTTTGTAAATATTTTTTATATAACACTTTACGTAAAAAGATTAATTAATAAAAATCTAAAAATCTTCCTCGATATATACGCTCGAACGCATAATTTTTCCAACAATTTTCCAAAAATTTCCAAGTTTCGAGAACGAAACACGAGAAAATAACGCCACTGCCTCTTTTACGCCAAGCAACGATTACAAAATCAACGATTCCACATGTGCAAGGGGTTTGCTAATCTTGGCCTATGTGGAGGCGGTATTTTATATATAAAGAATCGAGGTTTTACGCGAGGCAAGAGAGGAGAAGAAAGGAATTTTTGAACGATCGTCACGTTCATTATCCATGTTCCTGTTCGTTCTACAACCTCGTGCAATTGGTCGACGAAATGGTCGTTTGGTGTTCGAGGCAGAGGAGGGACTTCGAATTTTTTGGAATTTTTTATTTTTTGTTTTACGATGAAAATGACGAATCTAAGAGTTGAATTATAATTGATTAATTAATTAATCACTCGTGTATTTCATCCTTCTCTTCCATGTGTGTCGATTGTTATTATTATACATGTGATCTTTCTTCAATGATTTTAAAGAAAGAAAGAAAAAAATGAAATAATTCTTTCAAATTTAGATTCAATATCCGTGACATTAAGAGGAGGAAATAAGCAACACGGTTCAATCGTAAAATTAGAAATTCGTGGGCGTCGATATTAAAGATACGTCTAATTGCATAGCGCTTCTTATAGAACAATTTTCATTTTGATTTAATTAAAATTAATTAAAATATCCACACATTTTCACCAATCTTGTGATATTTAATAATATTCAAGAAAGAAATAACAATGTATCTGGAAATATTTTTCGGATCAATTATTTTCAAGTTCGGATTATTTAATTGTAGTTGCATAATTAAAACCACAAGCATGCACATCTGAAAAAAAAAAAATGCAAGACACACACAGTGTTAACGTTATTGCATAATTTTTAGTTATTGCAAATTTATAACCAGTCCTCAAAAATATTACATTACATGTATTTTTTTTTTTTTCAAATTTCTCAGTTTCTCGTTTCGTTTGCAACTTTACCTGGTGTTGCGGAAGAAGCTTTAAACGTGGGAGCGAACATAACGTTCTCTGAAAATCACCAATCAGTATATTTTAACTAATTTCGTATAACAATTCTATTTTTCTTTATTAAAAACAAGAGTTGGTAATAATTGATAATCTTTGAGAAAAATTAAAAAAAAAAATTAATTAATCGACAATAAATTATTTAAAAATAATATACGCTCCTTTTCAATCGCAAATTATTCTAAGTCGAAAAATTTATATTATAATTAAGTGGTCAGCGTGATTGTCATTCATTGAAAAAATTATAGTTACTTACTACTGTATATAATTTGAATCAGAATTGTAATATTTGATTACAAATACATGAACACGACAAATGTACTTCATCTATCTTCATATCAAGATACATGCGCTCATTAATCACTCTTCTCCTATTTCAAACGCTCTATTTAAAGGTGATATCCGCATTGACAAGCAACGTGACCTTTGGAACCATGCCCACGATTACTTTTGTTGAAGAAGAAGACACACATCGATTTCGAATAAAAAAATCGCTTCCCTAATGCGAACTCTGAAAATAACACGCAATTGATTGACAAAAAGTTGGTGGAATGTCTTTTGTTAACGATATTGCGATTATATTTTTTATATTATGGACAATATTCTCTGATATTAATCTAACGATAGATAAAAATCTATAATATTTTTAATTCACGATATGATTTTATACAACAGTTTTTTTTTTTTTTGTTTTTTCCTTTGAAAATGGAAAAACGTATTCCAACGTATAATCCGAATTTGGATGGGAAATTTTCTTATCGTGTCAAATTTATGAGATAAATGAATAAAAAAAAAAAAAGAAAAAAAATATAAATTGATTTTTGACATTAATAAAAATAATTCAAAAAATATATTTTTTTTTTCAATATTTCAAATTCTATTCGTAATCATACGATTTTTTAAAATTAAATTAATGATAGTGAAAATTATACACTCATACAATTCATAGAAGAAATTATTGATCTTCTATATATATCAAAATCTCGTGATGAAATTTTTTTTTAATACGATTATGCGATAAGACTTTTCTTTTTTTTTTTTTTCCTTTATACAAAATGTATCAGAGCTTTTATAACGAGAAAAAAGATTCACGGAGACGCTTGTTTTTTTTTTTTTTTTTTTGCTTAAATCGTGATAAAGAACGCACTAAAGACTTCTCAAATTGCTTCTTTATAAGAACGATGCGGATCATTAATAAAGAAGCAAGGTTGATGAGCTTCGAAGTAGAAAGAAGAGAACGAGAGGGAAGAAAAAAAAAATGAATAGTAAAATGTAAGAGAGGGTGACAAGTATCTTTTGAAACATTCTATAAATTTTATAATTTCATGACATTTTGTTAATTAAACGAAAATTTAGAACAAAGTCAGATAAAAAATTCATTCCACTTTTTATGAACTTAATTAAAGAAATGTAAATTTGTAAAATGCAAGTGCAAATTTTCGTGTAATTAATTAATTTCTTGTTTAGCAAGAGTAATTTGAAATTTTTATTCAAAATTAAAAAAAAAAAATAAATAAAATACTAAAAGATTATGTTAATTTTGATTACATGTAAATAAGATATTTACATGTAAAAAAGAAGAAAAAAAAATTTTATTCCATGAAATATGAAATATTACTTAAAATGATGCAATTTTAGTTAGTTAACGAAACATTATTATCATAAATTTCCATATTTACACGTTACTGATTTTTAATGCAAATTATAGAATATCGTTTCCATTAATTAATATTCTTCTATTACATAAAGAATGATAAACAAAAAAAAACATTAAAATTATTCCATTTTCACTATAATATGATCTTTATTATTTATCCTAAACTAATTTTGGACACCTTTTTATTTGTTTTTATTTATTTTTGCATTTTTATATAATTGATTTTATAAATTTACGATTGATTTTAAAAAGAAAATCGAAAAAAGAAGGAAAATTATCGGATTATGGATTTTTCTCCAATTTCTCTTCTACGAATTAAATTTTACGAGAAAAAAATATAAAATTTAAAATAAAAAATAAAAAAAACAAAAATTACGATACGAAATTTCACAGGCGCAAAGAATATAAAATCGATTCAAAAAAAAATTAAACAAGCAAAATCAATCGATAGATTCGATAGAAAAAAAAAAAGAAAAATCAAAATAGATCTTTTACACGATTCAAACGAGCGAATAGAATATAGAATCGATTTTAAAAAGAGTATAAAAAAATTAAATTAAAACAAATAAAATCGATCAATAAAAAAAAATTTCAAATCAAATTTCGCGCGAAAGAATCGAAAAAGCGGAAGAATCTAATGGCTGACAACGAAAATAGCGGGCAACTTCTACCTCGAACGCACGTATATTGCAATTTCGTGCAATCTGCCGAGCGGTAACGTGACACCTTTATGTAATCGAGGAGTAACAAGCTGTTCCACGTTACTTCTACATATTTTCAAAACACTCTCGAGTATCGCGAGTTTTTCATCGTTGGCAGTAAACACGATTGTTTTTATTTTTCTTATAATTTATGTCGATTATAAAGTACACGCTAATACGCAGTTGAACATGTCGAATTTATAAACGTATTAAAAACGAATAATCTCAATTAACAAGAATTACATTTTTTGAATTAACAATCGAATTATATGTAATTTATGTATGTGAGGGTTATATATATATATATATATATATATATAATATATATATATA